TAGAGGAGCAAGAAGTGAATGGCTGGAGTGTGAACACCTACAAAAAACACCATAGTTAGCAATGATAAAACCCCAAAAGACTTGCTTCAGAACCAGGGAATAAAGGAGCAAGATATGTCTCCTAGTGTTACTGGCCTTGAGCAAGACTCTTAGGAGATCAAATGTTGTATCCGGTGAGAGGGAAATGATGAGCAACAGTGGATATTTCTAGGAGGGGAGGACAACTTCACTCAGTGGAAAAGACTCTGTTGGAATTTAGAGATAACTTGATTAGAGGAGCTGAGGAGAAGTGGAAAAAGGTGAATATCTGGTGCAGGAGTAAGGTGATTTTTTATGTGATTACTGGGAAAGCAAGCTAGACTGGAGTATAGCAGTGATGGTTGAAGATATTTTCTCTAATCTGTCCTCTTTCCCTATTTGTTCCGTTGTTGTGTATTAAGTTTTTCTTTAGTTGTGTTAGGTTAGCTTTTTCGTGATGCTATTTCTGTAGATCAGGTTTTTTTGTGCTAAGTATATTGTAGCTTATGACTCTTTTGAATGTTGTTTTTGCGGGGGAGCCCGGTGTTATCCCCTATGTCACTATACCTTAGTTTTTAGGTGATGTGCAAACTCCTTTCCAACCAGTTGGTTAGCCCACTGTAAATTCTTGAGTTTTGATATGAAAATTTAAGTTTCAGAGAAAAAAGAAAGAATATGAACTACGATAATATATAGTAACTCTTACCTTAGAGATTTCTTGGGAGTTTTAATGTTCAAGACCACATTTCATTTGAATATGTTAAAAATATTGAAAAAGCTAAAAAAAAAAAAAGATCAATTTCATATTTAAGACCATTTTAAAAAATGGATGACTTCCTTTCTGGTTTTCATATTTTTTGATTTCATATTTAAAAGATTTCGACCTATAATCGAAATATTAGACCAGATCCGTCTATAAAACAATAAAATCGATATATAAAACCAACTTCATTTCCATTTATCAACTTCTTCGACTACAAAATTTTGGACTTCATCTGAAAACCAAAAGATCAAACCAGTTATGTCTCGATTTCTTATGATATCATAACCATGTCCTACAAGGAAGTGCCAAAGAATCAAACAAATAATGTTGTATATAAGGAAGTGTTCAATAATATATGATCTTATGAGTTTAATTATATGTTTATATGTCTATTCTTATGATCATTATCATTGCAGTATTACACAATTTATATACATTTTTTCCTTCTGAAAAGCACATAGATAATAATTTTCTCGTGCATCGCACAGGTGTTTACTAATTCCATTTAAATAATTGATTCAATTTATTAAATGCTTTTTGGAACGGATCAATCTTTTAATTTTTTTATTTTCTTTTATTTTATTTCATTTTATTTTATTTTTTGCGCCAGAATATCTTAATTAGTTGTTAGAGTTAAACTTTTGTTATTTGTTGATTCAGATTTAATATCTCATCCCAATTTGATTTAGTCTAGATAATAATTAATCGCATGTATTTTGATAACTTT